CAAAAGCCACTCTTACCTCTCTGGCTCCTGAAATGGGGGAAGACTTACTAGGCTCTGAAGGTATCTATTCTAGCAAGGAGAAGCCACTTGTGGCTGTAAATACAAGATTGTCCAGTGGGCAGGTTCTCTCTGAGTATACTGGACCCATCTCTGCTGATCTTGATTATTTCCCCTCTGTTAGCCAAACAAAAGCAGAACAGGACAGTGATAACAAAAGTAACACTGAGATTCCACTGGAAACCTGCTGTTCCTCAGAACTCAAAGTGGGAGGCAGTGGGACTTCTTTGGAGAGGGAGCAGTTTGAGGGCTCAGGGTCAACTCCAGATGCCAAGTTAGACAAAACCTGTATAAGCAGAGCCATGAAAATCACCACAGTTAATTCAGTGCTACCCCAAAACAGTGTTTTGGGTGGAGTCCTCAAAACGAAGAAACAATTGAAGACATTAAATCATTTTGATCTGACTAATGGTGTTCTAGTCGAGAGCCTAAGTGAAGAGCCACTTCCTCCTTTGCGTCGAGGCCGGAAAAGACACTGTAAGACCAAGCACTTGGAACAAAATGGCTCCCTTAAAAAACTGCGACACACCAGTGGTGAGGTGGGTCTGGCCCCAACAGACCCAGTCCTGCGAGAGATGGAGCAGAAACTTCAGCAAGAGGAAGAGGACCGACAGTTGGCTCTGCAGTTGCAGCGCATGTTTGACAACGAGAGGCGGACTGTGAGCCGGCGAAAAGGAAGTGTGGATCAGTATCTCCTACGGTCCAGCAACATGGCCGGGGCCAAGTAGCACCTAACGAACAGTGTTACCTAGTTTTAAAAGGTCTTCGGCCTTGATCATTTATCCTGAAGAGCTGAGTGTTCTCACTTTGGTTTTATTTTAATAGCAAAACACTGTCTAACATGGTTCTGAGAGGTTCCAGGGCCTTTGTAGTCAATATCCAAGGGAGCAGATTTCCGTTTCTCTGTGACCCAGGCCAGAAGCCTAAGTGACCCATCCCTAAGGGCTTCTGGGCCAAACCTGGCAGCACCCACTGGGAATGAGATTTGGAACAGCCTCATTCAGGAACATAATGGCCACAGTTAGTAATGGTAAAGAGGGGATACCTTCTTAAACTGATAAGACTTCCTGACTTCTTTCAGCAGGGTATTGTTTTAAATCAGCCTTGCAGATAAAAATTAATTACATCTTTTTCAAAGAAGTGAACAGTTCCTTGGCAGATCCAAAATGATAATGGTTATGGTCCTCTTTCTGCCGCCCCTTGCCAAAAAATAAATACCTATCTATATCAGTTAAGCTTATGCCTTTACAAAAGTTAATTTACGTTCTCTGTTTAAAAAAATAACATTTAGTGAATGCTATATAGTTGACAGAACACATTTACAGACATTATTTAATTTAGTGTTTCCAAGAGACCTCTCATGTAACTGGCATTAGCCCCATTTTTAGATAATGAAACTGCAGCGCAGATGTTCCGGTTCTCTCAGCTACTGAGAGGCATAACCCATGGGTTTTCTAAAGGTTTCCCAAATAGATTACGACCTAAGGGTGTGCCAGGGGAGCCTAGGGGAAGCTAGACTGGGCATTGAACACTGATAGTGCAAAATCCACATGCAAACAAGATCGACAGGGTAAACATATACTGTGCATTATCCCCATCCCCCACAGTTTACAGCCTTCTGCTTTTCTGGGGGTTTCAGCCTATGAGACAAACTATAATCAGGCTTAATTATTACTTTTCACATGGCCAAGGGTTATCTGCAATGTTGATCTAAAATCCGAAAAATTTGCCCTGAAGTCAGGCAAAGAACAATACTGAAACTCCATACTATGGAAACAAGGTATCTAGCTGGATGCAGCTGGTAAATTCAGTCCCATGGACCTTTGGGGGTTTATTTTCCTTAGCAGCTGACACCATGTGTCTTTTGCATCCCTGGTGGTGCTTGGTGCTTCTGCCCATCTGGGCTCATTGAGAATAGGGATCAAGGTATGATTTTAGGGAATTTCTGATGGGCTGGCATTCCCCATGTATGTATAAGTTGTTACTATAAAGTCATGTGACTGGCATTTTAACAGACCTTCCAGAGCTTATATATCCCAATATATGTTGTCTCCTTTGAGTAGCCCCAGCAGGATACTGCTTAGTATTTCCAATGCCATTGGTGAAAGCATTTCTGGAACTGTCTTCAAAGACTAGAAACACTGACTCCCAAAATGCTAGAACTGGAAGGGACCTTAATGGATATCTATTCCAGCCTACTTCTAAGGTCCTCCTCAGCTTCTAGACCTAGAAGCCAAAGCCCAGAACAGTGACCCATTGATTAAGTCAGATAGTGTAACTCCTTTTAAGTGTTCGCAGATTTGCTTTCTTTTTCTTAGGGCAAATCTTCAGTGTTTTGTGGTGGTTTGTGGTTAGGAGAGAGAATTTAAAGTCTGAGACTAGTCGGCAGCTATTTGAAGCCTCTGGGAAAGAAGGTGGCTTATCAAGTGGGTTTGCAGTAATAAATGGAGTGCTGCTGTAAAGCAGTCAGAGCCACTTTCTTGTGCAGCTCATAGTTCCCAAACAGTTCCCAAAGAGAAGTTCCAGAGATGTCTTAAACATTGTGGTCATCATTGAGATAGGTAAAATCTCTTTGATGACTACTTCGGTGGGGAACATCACTCACCTGAATGTATGTATGCTCTGTTCTGTGTGTGTGTGCGCACATGTGCAGATGTATGTTTTAAAAACATATGTCAATCTCATGATTTTATAGTCACACCACTTCAGTTTTAGGCCCTACCAACAACTTATGTTCTCCAAGGGCTGCTGGAGGGCGTGTTTGTGCCCAAAACAGAAGAGCTGCTGTGGTTTACAGAAGACAGGGAGGGTGACCTTACCATAAATGCCCTTAGAGGAAACTTACCAGTTACTGCCATTTCACGCATTTCCTTTTTGATCTTAGTAAATATTATTGGAAGGCAAGTCTTGTTGGTAGGAGCAAAAACACTTATTTTTCCACTTGCCATCTTTTTCTGTATCTCCAGTAATTTGAAAAACACTTGTCAGTTGGAATTGATTTTTGTCTTTGGTAAAAAGAAATATTTTTAATAGATAAAAGATATATATTTTAAATATTTCCCCAAATTAATACTTTCATTTTAAGAATTGCATAGCAGTTGCAACAAGTGCAGAGTGAAGAACAAATTCTTGTTAAGCAAATATTCCAAACACTAGGTCCAGCTTACTGCCTTCCCCCCTTGTACCTACAGTGATGCCTAGGATGGTATTGGCAGTTGTTTTCTGAACTTCCTGCTGAGCAACAGTCCTTCAAATATAGGTAGAGTGGTCTAGGTTAAGGAGGGCGGAGGCTTGATCTTTAATCAGGTTGGCTTTGGAGAAAGGAAAAACCACTAAGATAATCTATCTGTATTTTAAGATGTTTCCCATCCTTAGTAACTAAAACCTGAACGCTTTTTCTTTCTGAAAACTCTCCCTCTCTCCTTCCATGATTGTGAAGTTGGTTACAAGTCGATATGTTAATATGGATTATTTGGGGGAAACGAAAAGGACAAGGAAGGAAACAGAACAATGGGAGGGTTTGTGAGCTAGAATAAGAGGTGCAGGATTTCACAGATTCCTCACAAATCATTGAAGTTGACCACACAAATTACCCATGTCTTACTCTGTTCCTTGTACATATGCAGTCTGTGAGTTTTTTTATTATTAAAGGGGAAGGTATGAGAGGTGGGAGGGTGAAGGTCAGACTGAGGGGAAATCCAAGAAATGTGGTGCCCTCAGAAGGGGGCTGTCAGCTCCTTTCCATAGAGAGGGAAACATACTTTGAGAAAATGTTCTTGACCTGTTGATTGTATGTGCTGGAAGAAGTCATCTGGGCCGGTTGGGTTGGTAGCAAATCAGGGGACTATGTATCCAGCTCCTGGCCCCTTTCATATAATTGCCTCTGTTTTAAAAAGGTTAAGTCTTGTTGGGTGAGGCTTGCCGGGAAAACTCCTAAGTGGCTTCACTTATTTTTTAAATTTTAATTTAATTTTTAAATTTTTGCTTGAAAGAAGCACTGGTAATAAGTGTTTTATTTTTTGTTCATTTTCCCTAAAGGAAAAATGTCCTTAAGAGATTAAAGCTCTTAATTGATTACTGTCTGGTTACAAACTGGCAAACTGACTAAAATGGGAAGCTGCCACCGTGCCTGACTCATGCAGCTGATGACCGAAGGCTATTCATCCTTTCTTTTCTATTTGACAAACATTTACTGAGCTTCAGACTTGTGCCAGCCCTGAGCTGGACTGTGGAGATAAAGTAGTTCCTGCTCTTGAGGAGCTCGATGTCTAATGGAATGCATTTGAATGTATGTGTGGCTGGGGAGTTTATTTATGGTCTTAGGAAAGCCATTTCTGGTCCCATTTAGGATACTGCCCAGCACCCAGCAGGCTGCATTCTACATTTTAGAGACCCCATCGGTATTTGTGAATTTGCACCATTGCTTTTCTTTTACTAAGTCATGTTATGGAAGGAGAATGAATTTTCTCTTCTAGTAATTACAGGACATTAACATCTCTTCAGATGCTGCTTTTAGCTTAAGCTCCAAGAAATGAGGTGGGTTGTGGATCACTGACATGGTCAGGGGAGGCCTACACCTCAATTTAGTAACCTCCTAATCTCTCCCCCAACCTGGTCTCTCCTCAGAGCTGGCAGCAACTTGGGATTCCTTTCCTTTTTCCTGCCCAACTTTTCATTGAAATGTCTAGTAGGAGAATGGGAAAAGAGAAGAATCAAAGGCTGGGTCACGGTCATAGAATGTTATAGCTGGAATGGGCATGGAAATCATCCAGGTTAAATTTCTTCTCTGCCCCCTACCCCCACGCCCCCCCTTTTTTTTAACCAAACGAGGAACTTGCGATCCAGTGCCCTATTTTATAGTGTAGTTTTCTAGGGTCTGAATAAGTAATCGTTAAAGTTTGACACACACAGACATACACACCAATGATGGGGATACCCCCAAATGATTTAGGAGGCTATTTTACTAGCTTTTTCTTCCTGATTTTTTCAGTTAAATATACCTATAGACCCTGAATACATGCTCAGGTAGAGAAAGTCTCCATAGTATAAGTAAGTAATATGAATGTGGAATCTTGGAGAGTGATGTATTTTGATCGGAATAATTTTAATTTAATGATTTTAATTAAGAATTAAAAGCCAGCTAGCCAAATTTTCTTTAAAAACTGGAAACTCACTCTGGTCTTAAATTGTTCTCAGCCACCCTTTTCCTCATCAACCCATAGAGTGGTCTTTTGAACTGGTATCTAAACATAGCTGGTTATGAATTCTCAAAGAGAAAGCAGGTCTGGGGCAGGGTGGTCGTGGGGCAGATTCTAGGGAAAGTGTTGAAGAGATTTTTCTTCTGAAGATGATCTAGGAAATGCATCTTTATACATGACTTATCCGCTGTAGCTTTCGGAAGAAGATCATAGAAATGAGACTAAGATATATGCAAGGGTCACCAGTTTAGAGATTAGTCAAATTAGATGAAGGAAAAAGTGCCAAGACTGGATGTGCAGATTATTCTATGTATTATCAGTATTTTTTTCCTCCTAAGAAAAAAATTTACTCTCTCTCCTTTGTGAGTAAATGTCTCCGTAATGCCTTTTGAGTAAGGTGGCAACTTTTAGCCATCATCTTGTGAGAGGCAACCTCAAACGCTGAGCAGACTCCCTCTCTCCCTTTCTGGTGTCTTAAGAACTAGTTTGAAGCCAAGGCAAAGCAAGGTTTGTTTATCTTCCTTTCCTGTCATTTAATATAAGGTAAAACAGGCAATGAACTCACTCTTCAAATACCATAGTTCAAGAGTAGCTGTTGGCCCTGGTTCCAGATTAATATAGCAGCAGGCAGATTGCCCCTTGTTGGGGCCACCACCCTCCAAAGCTGTGCCACCAATGAGAGCAGGGGTTCTTCCTCATTGGGTTCAAGTTTGTATCAAACATGGTATTACCAACGCTGAGCCTCCAGCAGAGCACTTAAAAGTCCTAGTGAGAGAATAGATACTATGCAAGGGAAAAAAATTTAAATGCCAACAAATAGTTGTTTGTTTGTTTGTTTTTTTTTTTTTGAGCCTGATATACTGTTTACTCTCAACTCTTTGTACAAATATTGTTGTCCTAAGGGCCTTTTCCCCTCCTGCCTAGAAAATAGATTGTGTGTTGGTTTTATTCAACCTGCTGTCTGCTTTAGGATTGGAGAAGGTACCTGGATCCTTGTGGACTGCCACTGCTGGCTGCCTCCTCTCCAACTCATCAGAAGAACATTTTGACAAAGACAGAGGACTTGGACCAGGGCATGCCCTGTTGGAGATGCTTCTGTCAGCAAGGACATGGCATGGAATCAAGTGGGCTGATGTGTTGTTATTTAAACAGTACCAAAGCGCATTCTTCAATGTATGTTTGCCTGCTTGAGGTGAGGCCCAAGTTGAGAATACAGTAAAGAAAACTCATGAAAGTGGATGTTCTGTTTCTAGTCAGAGTCTTGTCTCTGGAGAACAGTCTCAGACAAAAACATGGGTTAAGCTTAAGCTGTGTGTGGATTGTTGGTGCTGTATGTGCTCTGGGAAATGCCCTATGTTGAATGTCTTGCTTTGGTATTCAGAACGGCGGTAAAGATTAGGAGCAGGGATGGAGTTTCCATGGTATACAACCGTGTCTTTTGGCATAAGTTATCTCCAGTTTACAGTTTGCTCCAATTTACTGTCATGTTCACATTCAACCATTCATGCTCCTAATGAAGGAACCAAGAAAGAGTGTGAGTAAAGAATGAATATACAGGATGACACTGTCCCTGCACATTAGGGTTGTACTCAAAAGATCTGGTTTCTAAAAATACCCTTTTTGGAGCCATTGTTCAGGAATTTGTTAAGATCCCCCTGGTGTCAGTTTCTTATACAACAGAGAACAAATGTATCCCTGTTGCATCTGAACTGGAAAACCATTTTTAGAGGGAAGTGTGACAGTGCTGCTGTGGCCTGGGTTCCAAGAAAGAATGCATGTGGCACCCAGTCTATTGCCCTGTGCACCCATTCTTTATTGCTGCTGGGCCAGGCACCCCGTCATGCCTGGCCCAAGGAGGGGAGATCCTAACAAGGGGAGGCCACCTTGTGGCCAGCGAGTGGGGCCCAGCTGAGCTCTGAGGCCTGTGGCCGGCTGGTCAACCTCGAGGTGCGGTCCAGGGCACAGAGCCCTTAGGGAGAGCTGAGGCACAGGCTGGATGATGCGCACAGCCCCCATGCACAGCCCTAGCCTTGTGAGTCACTGGCTGTGGGCTCCTGGCAGAACTCATCCATGAACTCGAGGAAGCGGCCGAACTTGGGCTGACTCTCACTTAGCGCTGGGCAGGCTGGGGGAAGCGGGGTGGTCCCGAACACTGTCCGCAGAGAGCCACTCACCAGCTGCCGGTAACGTGCTTGGAACTCCTTCAACAGCCTCTTGGCCTCCAGGTACTGCTTGTGGTTCACCAGCCGCCGTTCTGTCCGCCGGTGCAGGACAGCACCTGCAGGAAAAGAAGCCAGGAGAGGCACCAAGCTCACCCTGGTTCCCACCCAGCCGGAAGCAAGAGGATTGGGTCCAGAGACCCTTGGAAAGTGGGATGGCATGACAGGAGGATGCTAAGGGGCTGAAAATGGCCTTTCCAGCTTGGGGCAGTAGGAAGTCAGTGGTATGCCCTCTTGACTCTATCTTAAGCTCTGGTTCAAGACCTTAACATGCTATGTGATTTTAGGCAACTCCAGGCCTCATGCTGGCTCTCCTTTTCTCCATCTACATACAGAGACTGATGTAGGTAGTTGCTCTCTAGGGGCCTTTCCTGCACTGACACAAGCCCTTTCTTTGCCTTTAGTCAGCAGGAGTGAACTGGATCTGGGATCCTGGCAGCTGTGGCAGAACCATACCTAGTGGAGCCTCTGTAATGTTCCGGGGATCCCGCAAGCGAATGAAGATGTCATCCAGCAGTTGGGTTCTAGTCTTCCTTGGGGGTGGAATCGGGATCCTCTGGGCCTGGCAGAAGGTCATGGAGGAGGGTGTTATCCCAGGTTTATGCACAGACTTTCCTAGCCTAACTTCATATAGTCACAGCAACAGGCTGAGGAGCATCTGGGGGTGCTGGGAAAGCATGGCCCTCAGAGGGTCCCAAGGTGACAGCCACATCTGTACCTGAGGGGGTTACTCAGGGGCCATTTACACACTCAGTGAGCTGGATGTTTACCCTTTTCTCTTTGGGAACATAGGGTTTCTGAAGAGTGTCCAGCTTGGGCTTGGAGGAGTGGCACAGGAGTGGGTGCTTCAGCATGTGTTGCAGGGCCTGTGCATTCTTCTGGATTCCTAGGGCAAGAAGGCGACTGAGTCAAGGCACTGCCCGTCCTCCCAGATGCCTCCCCTGATTGCTTCATTCCTCAGTCTCACAGCAGCTCTAGGTAAAAGGATTTGAGAGTCCCCAAAAGAACACACTGCTCCCAGGTTTCTTCCGGGTCTGTTCCAGTGCCTGAACGTCCATCATTCTTCAGTGAGTATTTGTCCCATATTATAACGGAAAAATAGCACAGATTGTAATGGGACGATCGTATTGGAGTGGGGGAAAAGGCTGGCTCCAGTGCGACCCCGTTAACCTCAGGGGGTTATATCGCAGGGGCTGATATCCAGAACAGTCCAGCTGAATGCCAGTTGCTTTGGAAGTACAGATTAACACAGAGATGACGCTGCCTCCTTTGTCTCCAACCAGATAGGAAGGATTTCGGACGTTCAGTTTGGGAACTTAACCTGGGCTGGGAAAAGCTCAAGAATCTAGCCAGTCTGGGTGTTCATTCATCAAACTTTTCCTGAGGAGAGACTTCATCATCCAGAACAGCTAGGCTGAGACCGACTACAATCTCTGAATAAACTGTGGTTCCCGGTAAGCCAGTGAAGGCCCAAGCCAGGACAGGGGTCCCAATATGTGGGGCTTCAAACAAAGGACACCCTAAAAGGAGCCCTTTGACAGGTATTTAGACAGAGGACAGCACCCTAGTTGGGAAAAGACAGCTTGGTGCCAGCCTTGGCTTGACCCTGACTTGCTCTGGGCTGTGGAGATGGCCTCTTGCCCTGGAGCAAGGATATGCCCTCACATACCCTTTGGCTCAATGAAGGCTGGATCAGGCTTGGCTGTCAGCAGTTCTTCATAGCCGTGGTACTTGCTGGGAAGGGAGGCAGTTGTGAGCTTCCTCCGAGTCACTTTCACCTCTCTGGGTGCCATTGGTGGTTTCTTTTGGTCTTTCTCCTTCAACTCTAAATCATCCTTATGGATGATAGAGGAAGGCAGTTCACTCACCTGTGCCCAGGAAGAAAACACATTCATTTGTCATTCATTCATTCATTCATTCATTCACTCATTCCATGAACATTCAGAGCATCATCTCTGTGCTGGTCTCTGCTGGGCCCTGTTAAGGGCAAGGGTAAGACCAAGACTGGGATGGAAGGAGGCAGACATAAAAATAGACAGTTAATAAATGCTTTAACAGAGGGAATACAGTGGTTTTGGGTGATCCCAGAGGAAGCCCAAACCTAGCCAAGAAGCTCCCTTGGAGGAATGCCTTAGCCTGAGCTAAGTCTTGAAGAGCCAGGAGAGCCATCCCTACGGAGCAATGGGGAGACGTGTAGACTGCAAGTGATGAGAAAGAATGATTGTTTCAGACAAGGAACAGCATGAGCAAAGGCGCAGAAGTAAGAAACATCAAGGTTCATTTTGGGGGAACTAAAGATTGGTACAGTTAAGTAAAATGTGGAGAGACAGGCAACTGCAGTGGTAAGCAGGACCCAGATCAGTAAGGACCACTATATGCCAAGCTGAGGGTGTGTTTTATTTTGTACTTTATCCTCACTCTGATGGCAAACCATGGAGGATTTTAGCCTATCCTAATGGCTTTATAAGAAATCTGTATGTCATGTAGGGATGTAGTTATTTACTAAAATGACTCAGCAGGTGGGGTAGCACATGCCTGTAGTCCTAGCTACTCAGGAGGCTGAGGGGGGAGGACTGCTTGAGCTTGGAAGCTCTGGGCTATAGTGCATTATGCTCCTCGAGTGTCCACACTATGTTTGGCATCAATATGGTGACCTCCCAGGAGTGGGAGACCACCAAGTTGCCTAAGGAGAGATGAACTTGCCTAGGTAGGAAATGGAGCAGGTCAAAACTCACATCCTGATCAGTAGTGGGATAGTGCCTGTGAACAGCCATTGCACTACAGCCTGGGCAACACAGTGAGACCCATCATGTATATACGTGTGTATTTGTGAATATACGTGTATATATACACACGTATGTGTATACAATATATATGACCTATAACAAGCAAAAAAGCTGAATTAGCAATTTTTAAACTTCCCACAAAGAAAAGCTAAGGACCAGATGGTTTCACTGGTGAATTCTACCAAACATTTAAAAAAGAATTCTTCCAAAAATTAAAAGAGGCTTGTTATCTGAGGTTAGTATTAACCTGAAATCCAAACTAGGAAAAGACATTATAAGAAAGGAAAAATACAAAGCAGTATCACTTATGAATATAAATGCAAACGTTCTCAAAAAATATTAGCAAACTGAATTCCACAAGTAAAGGGGATTATATACTATGACCAAGTGAGATTTATCCTAGGAATGAAAGGTTGGTTTAACATCTGGAAATCAATTAATGTAATATATCAATAAAGGAACAAAACCATATGATCATCTCAATAGACACAGGAAAAGCCCACTCTGTCATGATTAAAAAACACTCAAACTAGGAATACAAAGTAACTTCCTCAACCAGATAAAGAGCATCTATGGAAAACCCTCACCTAATATCATAATTAATGGTGAAAGACTGAATGGTTTCCCCTTAAGAACAGGCACAAGACAAGGAAGTCTGCTCTCACCACTTCTATTCATCATTGTATTAAAGGTTATAGCCAGGACAATTAGGTCAGAAAAAAAAAAGATTTTTTTTTTTTTTCTGAACAACATGGTGACTCATAATTGATTGCATGGCTTTGGCCGCTAGGAGGTCAGAATTGCATTTTGTCAAAACATCTTTATTATAATAGCAGCAGTGCATGATGTGCATGTTTGAGTGACAGAATTACTCTGGTACTATTTCCTTTCCTGTCCATATTTTCCATCTAACTCTCTCAAATTGTTTCTTTTAAAATGCTTATTTATATTCTGCATTGCTCCAAAAAGGTTCTGAGATAGTTCTTTAAGATACTTTTATACTGTATAAATTTATATGTCACTATAAGTCATCTGTGGAAAAAGAAATAGATAGATGGAGAGTTAGACCTCCATGAATGGATGGATGTACATCCGGGAAAGATCTGGCAGTGAGCAGATTGGAGGGGCAAGACTGGAGGCAGGGAGATCAGAGAGAAGGATGGTACAGTAATAAAGTTCAAGGGGGCCCTGCCAACTCTTCGAGCCTTACATTACCCTTTGCCACATGCCACCCTTCTGCTGCACTGATACTAAACATTTGTGGTTTCTGAATGTACCATTTTAATTTTCTTCCTCTATCCTGTTTCATGCTGTTTCCTCTGTCCAGAATGCCCTTGCTGCTATATCTTCACCTTTAATTCCTACTCAGCCTGTAAATCTCAGCTCAGTTGAGCCTCTTCCAGGATGGCCTCCTGGGCTGGGGCACTGGCATCTCTCCTTCCTCCAGGCTCCCAGCTTCTGGGATTTCCTCAGTCTCAGCACTGATTGCATGAGCTGGTCTGTCTGTGTTCCCCATTATACTGAGAGCACCTCAAGGGCACGACCTGCATCTGATCTATCTATGTTCCCAGGATCCAGAGGCAGCATCAAAAGTGAGGAGACCTGAAGTAGAGAGGTACAGGCAGCAGCAAACCCTTCTGAAAAACTAGTTGGAATCACATCCCAGTCAGACCACAGATCTTGTCTGTGCCACAGAAACATGACTTGTCCCCATGGGTGCCCCTATCAGTAGCCTCAGACCAGAGATCTTCCAGAAGAGGCTTGCAAGCTCCGCCAAGGGTGCTGACTTCTCATTTCCAGACCTGCCATGTGCTTGTTGCTCCCAGCTGTCCACAGCAGTCGAGCCTAAGGGCTGCAGAGGAACCTGTGGGAGCTAGTAACAAGTGGGCAGGGACAGCTGGATACAGGTACCTGGGTCAGGAAGATGGACTCTGTGCTCTTGGAGTCCTCATCTGATGGGTGCTCGGGGCTGAGACGGACAGCTGTGTCACTGAGGTGGGACAGGGTCTCTTCACTATGCACAGTGGAGTCGGAGCAGATGGGAGGCAGTGGCACGAAGGTCCGGCGAGACAGGGAAAGGCCTTCCAGACTCTCAGTGGGCATCTCTGACTCCACAAAAGTGCTTTTGGTAGTGGGCAGATCTTCAGCCAGCTCTGCCTCTGGCTCTAGCATATCCTTTGAGGGAGACTTGTTTGTGGTCACTTGTGGGTGATGGAGCACCAGAGGCTGCTTCGGCACCTTTGGGATTTTGGTTTTCACCTGTCATGGAGAAGGGCTGGAATGAATGTGCTTCCTAATCAGAAGTCTCTCCTCCTGGGCCTCACTAGCCTGGGGCCACTTGTATAGCAGCTGGAGTGCTGGGTACGGACTGACTAGGAGGTGGAAAGGGAAATCATACTTGTTGGGCATCTATGATGTGCCCCATGCATGATGTAAGTTGTTTTATTTCTACCTTGAAACTACCCAATGAATAATTATCCTCAATTTTATAGATGAGGAAACAGGCTTAGAGAGGTAAAATGACCTGTCCAAGTCCCAGAGTGATTCAGCAGTAGTGCCTGGATGATGTAATTCCAGTCCTGGGCTCCAGGCTTCATGCTGCATCCCTGACCATACGTCACTCTGGCCCTCAGTAGTCTCACTCTTCAGATGAGGGTTTAACATGGTGCCTATGGCTTTCCCCAGGGACTCCGAGGAGAGGGTGTTGGGGAATGGTCCTGTATTTTCTGGAAGATGGCAGCACCAGGCCCCTTTCAGGGTGCTGGTCCCTATACCTTATATAAAGATCCAAAAGATAGATCTCTCTGAAGGTTCAGGACCAAGAAAATAACTTCCTTAATTAGTAAAAGCCTGTGACCATTCTCCCCATCCTCCTCAGCTGCCAGGAGGTGTCCATGTGCCCAATTTACCTCAGCTAGGCTTAGTTCTTTCCCTCTCCCCCTTTACATAGTGGATTGTTTTCACTCTTTGTCAGAGGTATTTGGTTCACTTATATCTATACTTTTACTGAGAGATGTTAAGTTGCGTAGTGGAAAGATTCAAGCACTGTAGTTAGAAAAATATGGGCTGGAATACAGGTCTATCCTTTGAGTTCCCATTTCCTCCTTGTGCCTCTCTCACAGAGTTCCACCAAATGAAATGGTGTGTGCAAATGTACCTAACGGACTAAGGAGGGCGAAGGATGACTTATAAAACATGTTACTTAAAAAAAAAAAAAAAATCTCCTTTTGGAAAATATGTAGAACCTCAGTGTTTAGACTTGAAGCCTGAGGGACCCAGAGTCTTTGTCTGAATCCATGCCACAAGGCACAGGGCATGAACACAGCACTGCACCTCAGCATCTAAAACACCAAGTGCCATCACTTGGCAGCTGGCGGGAAGGGACAGTTCCCCTTCCCTCTCATGGCTCTGTGAGAGAGATGTGCTGGAGGAAATGCTCTTTCTCTATCCCACAGCTACTTTCCCCGCCCCTTTCCAAGGGAGGAATGGGTAACCTAACTGGCCAGAGGTTGAGTCACTGGGCCCTGCTTCAGTCGTGGGCTGGATCTGCTCGTCAATGAGACCAGGCTATTTTATCTTCTATTTGTGTCCTCACATCAAAGGGCTCACACAGCTTCTTGGTTACAGGCCTGCTCTGGCAGGTTCTCCATTTTCCTCCTGTCTGTCCATGCCTAGGTGTGAGGGGAGGGGCTGCAGCCCTTGTCCATGTAACCCCAGGGGTCTAATCTGCATTTCTAGCCCCATCTCTGTATGCACAGTGGGGACATGCGGGCATCCCCAGTCTGACTCAGGACTAAGCCACAATCTCCAGTCCAAGATAGAGCGTATTTGCCTACATTAACAAAGCATTGATTTGTTTCTCATTTGGCCACTGGCATCTGTGTTTATTTAACTCATTTAGCTCAAAGGTTTGTCAGAACCTTTGATGGGAGGAGGTGTGAGGGGTCCCCTAGGACCCACACTAACTTTTAACAAGTCAGTTCACCTCTCTGAGTCTGTCGCTTCATCTGCTGTGAGAATTATGAGATAGCATATATGCAAGGGCTCCACAGAGTCCTGGACATGGGGCTTCGTAAAGGAGAGAGAGGATTCTGCCCCTCCCTAGCTTGCTGATGGGAAATAATGGGGCAGATCCTTAAGAGGAGGTAACAGACAACAAGGAAGATGATGGAAACCTTGGAATTTCTATTTCTGACTTCAAATGCTTGTCCAGTCCTCTGAGGACGTCAGACAAGAGCCTGGCTGGACAGAGGCGGGCTGCAGAGGGGATGGCAAGGAAATACCTGTATTTAACTTTTGGGATCAGCAATGCTCAGCTCACCTTTTGGCTGTAGAAAGACTAAAGTTCAGGAGGGAGGAGCATTTCACAGAAATTTTTGAAATTCTTCAGATGAAAGAGGGATTTGACTTACTTTATGGCAAAGGAAGTAGACTTCTCTCAACATAAGGAAACACTTCCTTAAGATTCAGGCAGGAGATGTATTCTGGTCCTGGCTTAGCCATTTTTTTTTTTTTTTTTTGTAGAGACAGGATCTCACCCAGGCTGGTCTCAAACTCCTGCCCTCAAGTGATCCTCTCGCCTTGGCCTCCAAAGTGCTGCAATTAGAGGCGTGAGCCACCACACCTGGCCCATAGCCATTCTCAATTACTGTAGGTGACTGTAACTTTCAATGGTAAGAGTTTTGGGAGTTTAAAATATATTTTCATATCTGTTGTTTTATCCAATGCTCTTCCCAAAGCAAGGAAAGGAGAAGGCAATGCTGAATCTAATGGAGAGATTCCAGGCACTGTGGAGTGAGCAGCTCTACAGCCAGGTTGGTTTACATACATTATAATAGGCTGCACTCTTCCTGGGGGTGAGAGTCCTGCCTTGGAAGCCCTACCTTCCGTGATTCCTTCCGAGACATCAAAACATGATGCTTAGGCTTTACTGTCTTCCTTCGAATTAAGTGGATTCCCAGTCGCTCTTGGAGGAAGCTCTTCAGCAGAGGAGGGACCCCTGGTGCCATGATGGGAAAATAAGATTACTATTAGCTAAAATTTATACTGGGGCTTACTATGTGCCAGGCACTATTCAAACTGCTTTACATGTATTAATGAAACTTATTCTCAACCCTAGGGGTAGGTACCTCATTATTCCCATTCAATAGGCAAGGAAACTGAGACACAGAGAGGCTAAGGAATTTGTCCAAGATAATAAAGCTACTGTGGAGTGAGGATCAGAACTTCACTGGTGTCACTCCAGGGCCCAGGACTCTAAAATGCCTCCAGCTCCTGTATCTTACACAGTTGCTCCACTGCTGACCACCCCATTCCTTGTGCTCTGGGAAGAGAGGCTCCTGCAGTTGGGGCTGCACCCCTCTGCAACTGGGAAGTGGGAAATGAGGTCATGACAGAACTGTTCCACAAAGCAGGGTGTGGTTCAAAAGAGCTCATACAGGATTTAGAGAATTCCATATTCCATTCCCAACTCAGACTCTTTCTTGCTGTGTGACCTTAGGCAGATCATGAACCTCCCTGCACCTCAGTTTCTACCACTGTCCGTGGGGACAATAATGCCTGCCTCACAGGGTTACTGTCAGGATGAGCTGGTACAGAGCTATTTCCTCTACTCCTCAATGTACCATGAACCTTGTCCACCCTGACACAGAGTAGATCCCAGGGCTTGCCATTGATGAGGTGGGGATGAGGGTGCCACACTGCTCCTTGGGCACTGGGTTGAGAGGGGGCAGGTTTGCGGGCACCATACCTCGTGTATGGGCCACCAGAGGGTTGTTATGAAAGACGAATTCGCAGAGAGATGGGAAGAGAGCTACTGGTAGGACAGCATCCTCTTTTGCGATCTGTAATGAATGCAAGAGAGACTCTCAGGTTGACACCACCCCTCACCTCTACCTAGGTATGTCTAGGCCCCTCACTGCAGGGCTACATGCTTGCTAGGATTGGGGGTGGTATTGGGTAAGACATGCTGCTGTGGATGGGACTCGCTGCTGGGTGCTGCCTTGTCCCTACAATATCACCTACTCGTGCAGAGAGTGCCTTGCCCCTCTTGTCTGAAATTCCACCATCACTGTTGCGTGTTTAAGAGCTCAGAGTTTTTCCTCTCTTTTCCATGCTGGATATGTAGCCTATATCAAGTATTAGGGAAGCTGGTGGCAAAATAATAAGAACAAACATTTGTGGTAAGAACAAACAAACTCTTTATCTCATGAAGATTCTGGAAGGTTGACAGGGCATTGACTTTAACTTCAGGATACAATTTGACACTTCATCTTCCTCAACACAAACCTCTACACACTCCTGATGGCTCTTTCACTGAAGCCAGTCCTGGGCACTTCTCTGGGGATGGATAGGGGGAAAGGAGGACCCACACATCTAAGGGATAAGTAGAGCCAGTGTTAAGAGAGACCTCATGGCTGTCTGGGATACAGAGAATGCCCTGTGAAGCCAGCCTGCAAGTGGTGGCTTATTGGCCAAGCCAGCCTCTGAAGGGCAAAAAATATACAAGCTTTGTTGAGCAGACTGCCTGGAAAAGCTGGGGACCATCTTGGCGAGAGTATCTATTAGCAATGGAAAAGTATCAGGGACATCAGGATCGAAGGGACCAGGAGTCAGGCAGTGACCTATCAGACCCCTGGACACACTGAAACGTATTGGGTCAGATGTAGGACCCAATGAAGGTAGTAAAGTCCACGGACTGGAAGAGGGAGGGCACTTCAGTTTAGCTTCCTCCGCAGCCTTACTGGATAGCACTAGATTTCCACTGAGCAACTAACTTCTCTTTCATTTTTATTCATTCAACCAACAAATATTTACTGAATACCTACCATGTGCCAAGCACTTTGTTGGGAATGAGCAAAACAGATACAATTTCTGCCCTCAGAGAGCACTGTCTAGTGGGAAAAAAGCACTGCAGAGACAGTAACACAGGAGAATAGACTTACAATGTGGTAAGTGTCACAAGATAGGTGCATGAAGTAACAGGGTCATCTGACCCAGTCAGAGAGGTAAGAGGTGTCTCTGAGGTCTGAAGGAGGTAATTAGTGAACGCAGTGGGGCATGGAGTGTGTGGCAGAGAAACCTCTGTATTAACCAAAACCATTTCTCTACCTCTAGCACACGGATCTTATCTCCTAGCCTCCCAGGCAAGTACGTGTGGTCACGTGACCCAGTTCTAGCCAATGCAACTTGGGCAGTAGTAGTAAATGCTACTTCTATGTACAGTCTGTACCCTCCTGTACCTCCTCTACTTTCCTCCC